CCCTAAACCCTAAACCCAATAAAGCTGGGGAATCAGAAGCTCTACGAGGTCCTGTCCGTCATCGACGACCTTAAACCCTAAACAGCAGGAGATGACCACTGAACACAACCGCGTGTGACAGCGAAACCGTAAACCTTAAACCCTAAACCCAAAACCCCTAAACCCCTAAACCCCTAAACCCTAAACCCTAAATCCTAAACTTCTACGGGAAACCAGGCCGAAGGACCGGCCAGAAGCCAAGCAGGAACCATAGAAACCCGGCCAAAAGATATAGCAAAAGCAAGGAGGCACGTCGCAGAAACCCACCCGGGTAGAAGCCACCAAGATGCCCTAAACCTTAAATTGACAGGGTTTAGGGTTTAGGGTTCAGAGTTTAGGGCTAAGTTTTAAGCCCGAGACGAGAGACCACCCACAAGACCACGCTGTTAGCAGGGTCGGGGTAGAGAGCTGCCAAGAGACACACGCTACAAACAAGATAGGAGTAGAAGGGTAGAAGACACGATCAGGAGCAAAGCACGAAGAAGGGCACACTGCGAACAGGATACGGGTAGAAAGCACTTTAGGAGCGCACGTGAAAAGCTCCCTGAAAAAACACACTGCGAACGGGATAGGGTTAGAGAACAGCACGAGACAAAGCACACGCTGCAATCAGGCTCAGGAGTGAGGTTGAGAGTGCCAAGATGCACACTGTGCAAACAGGTTAGAGGGTGCTCGGAAGTATACGCTGGAAACCCCAAGCTTCTAGCAACGCATGCTGCAAACAGGAGAGGTGCAAATGAACCAGGAAGTACCTGCTGCAAGCAGCACAGGGGCGGGAAGCACCAAGAAGCACTCGCGGAACCAGGAGGGGGGTAATTAGAGAGCACCAAGAAGCAAACGGATATCGCCCCAATAATGTAAGCTGCAATGGCAAAGAGCATCACGAAGCACGTGCTGATAACAGGGTATGAATGGCAGAAAGGTAGAAACAGGATGAGGGAGGAAGCACCACGATGCGCAAGCAGCCTGGTTTCCCATTACAGGTCCGCCGCCTCCATGTTTTCGTTACTTGCCCCGTTGGTTTCGGTGACCGGCATCGGCAGTGTTTTCCGTCACTAGAATTTGGAGGTGGCTCCTCCTCAACATAACTGCGGACAAGTAGGATTACAAATAAGTCGCTTCCAGGTCAGGGTTTGCATAGGAGCCCCAACATTTACCAGTATTATGCCTTCGGGCTCCTTATTATTCTTGTTATTATTATTATATATAGATATATACGATAAAGGAGCCCCAAACCAAACTAGAATTATTAAGGACGCTGCATTGCGAAGCCTAGGTTGCGCAATCTCGGCCGCCGTCCGTTTTTAGGAGCTTTGCGAAAGCAAGGCGCTGTGGAGGCAATCTCATCCATGCCCATGCAGGTAACCTCCGCGGCAACGACGACCACATCCATGCCGGTCTTGGTGCCTTCACCTCCACCTACCGTTGTCAGCAGCGCGGAGGATGCAATCTTTGCGGCGAACAGTTCCACATCCATGCCTATGTTGGTGCCTCCATCTCCACCCCCTCTCCAATGGCGAAGCAGCAGCGTCAAACAGCCCTGGTTCAACAGAGTCATGCCGGTGTTGGTGCCTTCCTCCCCACCTACCGTTGTCAGGAGCGCAGGGGATGCAATCTCCGTGGCAAACAATTCCACATCCATGCCCATGTTGGTGCCTACATCCCCACCCCCTCATCTCCAATGGCTGGGCAGCAGCGTCAAACAGCCGTGGTTCAACAGAGTCCACCTGCACCCACATCCAGTGCAGCCGCAGCAGTCTTTGGCTAAGTTTTTGAAGCATTGGTCACCCAGCATCCAGCTTCAATACCACAATTTGCATGCTGAGAATATGTCAAGCTACAATGTTACTTGCGCGCCAAAGGTTTGGTTGATACTTTCTGGGCTATATCGGTCCCTAAAGTACGTGCGACCCACGATGTTGGATATGCTTCGTCGCTCAGCAGGAGACTGTTGGTTCGTCACATTGCTCTCATCTTCCGAAGAAAGTGACAGTCAACCACTGGAGCTATTGGAAGATGATTTCCGTTTTTTCGAAGGCCGCTAAACCCTAGACCCTAGACCCTAAACCCTAAACCCTAAACCCTAAACCCTTATTGGAAGATGATTTCCGTTTTTTCGAAGGCCGCTAAACCCTAAACCCTAAACCCTAAACCCTAATTGGAAGATGATTTCCGTTTTTTCGAAGGCCGCTAAACACTAAACCCTAAACCCTAAACCCTAAACCCTAATTGGAAGATGATTTCCGTTTTTTCGAAGGCCGCTAAACCCTAAACCCTAAACCCTAAACCCTAAACCCTAAACCCTAAACCGAAATTGGAAGATGATTTCCGTTTTTCGAAGGCCGCTAAACCCTAAACCCTAAACCCTAAACCCTAAACCCTAAACCTTCCGTTTTTTCGAAGGCCGCCTCGGCTTTATGTCAATCACTCGACACGGCCCTGCTCTCGAAAAGTGGTACCTGGGGATCCAAAAGTCGAACGTTTTAGGGGTTTTAGGGTTTAGAGTTTAGGGTTTAGGGTTAAGGGTTTAGGGTTTAGGGTTTAGGGCCCTATACTTAAGGGGTCATAACCTACTATTTGGTGGGGTTTGGGGATACAGGTACAACTATCCTATCCATTGGTATGGCTGCTGGCTCATTGCCCACGTCATTCGTGAGAGCTTGCCGCAGACTGCGATGGATGCTAGTAGAACGATTGTCCTGCGCCACCGCCCAGACGAATGCTTCCGGCATTGCTTTGACGTGGAGGCGGCCGGACGCGCTTTTGCACGGCATAAGTACATGATCCTTGGACAGCCCATTTCTGGCGACAATGGGCTTACCACAAATTGGGCAACGTATGCAGACATCATTGCAGCTGGGCTGAGGCAAAGTCCTACGACTAGAGCCATGATCCTGCACCCGGACAAGCATTATGACCTCTACCACGCTGCCTGGAGTAGCAGCTGGAGTAGGTCGGAGTTCTGCCACGGCATGCTGCGCCCTGATGCTTCGCTGCACTTGTAAGCTTGTTCTTCAAGATTCCTTGTTGCTTGCAGTAGTCTAGTAGTGTGCGTTGCCAGGCATGAACAGTCGAGGATGTTTGTCTGGGCACAGTTCCATATTGCCTCATGAACCACAATACCCTACCATGCCGCCCTCCGATCTTCTTAAGTTGGCAGCAGCATTGTCTGTGCCGTCTGCAAGAGCCAGGGACAGGAAACGAGTCTGCATGGTGTATAGACCGCCAACCTGCGGACGAGCCGCTGGAAGGGAAGTGCCTTGACATCACCAAAGACACGAAGTGTATCCTCCCGTTGAGGTTCTGGAGGTTCCTGCCGTCGAAGTTGCTTCCACCGCTGGAGCAGCTGAAGGGCGGATTAAAGTTTCATTTCCCCATAGGGTACATGAAGCCCGACAAAGGCTTCCGGTCATGTAAATCAGGTAGAGACTTGTGAGACAGCTGTTGTCAATTAGTTATTGCTTACGATGAAGAACCGCTGGTCATCGGTCTTGAAAGTCGGGGAGATTTCTGACAGACTTCTTCCATGATGCCAGCACTGCATCACAGCCAAAAGGCTTTGGTGCTGCAAACGCCCGCTTGCCGACGAGCGAACAAGCGCTGCATACGCTAGAAGCTTGAATAGTAATTCCCTATCTTATATCATATAAGGCGCCGAGACAAGGCTTGGACACAAGAACGAGCACTTCTGACCGCAGTTGGTGGAGGGTCTAGGCACTACCCATAGGCCCCATAGTAGTTCATTTTGGGGATTACCTAAAAGGATTCTAAATATGAACCCCAAAAAGGAACTGCTATGGGGCCTATGTGTAGACCCTGAACCCTGAACCCTAAACCCTAAACCCTACACCCTTGCAGGTTCCTAAGGGTCCAGGCTATGGGGCCTATGGGTAGGCATGTCCTGAAGAGCAAAAAAGTCGAAGCCCGGAACCACTCGACCGCCCGAGAGCCAGGAAGCCAGGACCTTTAAGAGCTCCCGTGCCTATGGTTTAGGGTTTAGGGTTTAGGATTACTATAGGGGGCCTTAATAATCAGAATAGGGTTTGGGGTATATTCTACTATAATCATAAAAAGGACCCCCCCACCAAAAACAACAAAAAACTATTCGAATTATTAAGGCCCCTATATTAGTCTCCACTGTGCTTCATTTGTTTTGGTTAAGATAGGATCCTAAGTTTAAAGTTGGCTAAACCAGAAATAGGAACTAGAATGGAGACTACCCATATAGAACGCTTATAGTACCTTCTTATTGAAACACTGTAGAAGCCCTTATAGACCCCTTTAATAAGCTACAACGGTATTCTTCGGGGGTCCAAGAACCCTACCATACTGGTACTTGGACCCTCTGGGAATTTGGGAAGACAGGCTGAGAATACGGCGGGGTTTCGGGTCAAAGGTTTGCAAAGCATGGCCTATGGAGCCTTCTTGCGAAATGGTTGGGACCGTTCGAGCCCTGTGGACCCGAAGGGGCTAGTTTAATATTTAGTATTTAAGGTTTAAATATCAGGGCCTAAGCCTAAATAATTATCTATCCAATTTTGATGGTTCCATATTATAGTTAAAGTATATAATATTCCCCAAAACCCGCTTCTAATCATTAAAAACCCTACATGAAGGCTTAGGTTACTTTCTGCCTGGCATTCCGTGCGCTGGGAGTTTCGTCTCTCGTCAATCGGGTCTTGGAGTAGAACCGAGCTTCCGGAAATGTGGACGCGGCTTCCGAAACTACTCCGAAAGTTGCGTCTTCATACCCTAAACCCTATAACCGCTGCTATGCTGTCGCAAGTCTACTCGGCGTCTGGGGTTAAGGGTATTCTGGGATTAGGATTGACGCGTTTACGGATTTAGACTTTCGACTGGTTCCTCCAGGGCTTCATAGTGCTGGCAACAGCGTGCACTGAAGTCTCGCTGTGTAGGTGTGTTTAATTTGTTCGTATTTTGTTAAAGGTTTGTGTAGATGTACGTATGTACATGAACATGTGTGTAGACATTATACTACACTAATTTAGATTCAGATATAGTTATAAATGTCCGGACGGCATTGTATACACATATGTGTACAAGAGACACACACACACACACATGACATCAGTGCATACAAGCAAACGAAAAGAAAGGTCCACGGGTTCAAGGCGATGGCGGGCACTCGGAGTCGTTTTGGTTCTTTGGGTTTGGGGTTTCAGGCTAAACCCTAAACCCTAAAACCCTAAACCCCTAAACCCTAAACCCTAAACCGTTTAGGTCTTACCCCATGTTACCCCTCATTCCTGCTCCAGCCTTCTACAAGCGCCCCCAGCTCCAGCACCCGTCGACAGCACCCTAAACTTCTAAACCCTTGCCCTAAATCCTAAGCATTAATTGTAGCCCTTAACCCCAAACCCTAAACCGCAAACTGTAAATCTCCTAAACCCTGAAAACGAGGATGATCCTGAATGGCGGCGGAAGGTGTTCCAGCGCACGGAGGAGGTTTCCACGATCAGGGGACCTTAACAATCAGGAAAGCGTTTTGTGGCGTTTATTATAGAATAGAATACCTCTAAATACGAGGGTTAATTATTTCGACATAGTTCGACCTCTAAACCTTAAGCCCTAAACCTGTTTAGCTTTTCGGCCCAGGGTTCAGATCTTGGGGTCCACAGTTTAGGGTTTGGGGTCTAGGGTTTAGGGTTTAGGGTTTAGGGTTTAGGGTTTAGGGTTTATTGTTTAGGGTCTGGGACAGGAAATGGTAATCTCGAAGATGCGCGGCTAAAGAATTGGGTGCGCGGGGTCGCAGCAAGGCGCTACCCAAAGGCTCCCTTGTAGTTCCTTTTTGGTGTTACCTTAAAAGATCCTAAATATATAATCCACTGAAAGAAACTATAATGGAGCCTATAGGCATCCAGGTTATGCGAATGGTAAGGTACCTGTGCATGCATATGTTTCTGCATTCAGCATGTGACGCGGAAAGGTGGCTTGATTGGATCTAGCTTGACGATAGTAAAAAGTTGTCTTTCGGATAGTTAGTCGCCTGTCTTGTGTAAGATCACCACCCGGCCACCATCATTATTACGACGTCACCGGCACCAGCACCATCATCTTCTGTCAACTGCATGACAATCGCAGTTACCCTCATTGCCATCACTAATTAGCACGGCTACCAACAGGGTCATCACATTCGTCGTACAGTCATGATCATGGGCGTCATCACCGTCGTCATCATCATCCTCGTCATCATCATCATCATCAACAACAACCATCAATAGTCACCGTCACCGTCACCGAGCAATATCGAAGCAAACACATCAGCATCAATGTCAGTACCTGAGGACCAGGCACAATCAGACGATTGACTACAGCCTCGTTACTACTCATATCACTTCTAGCATGACCACACGCGAAGCCTTCCTATCTGCTGCCTATCTCAGTCTATCTGTCTATCTATCTATCTATCTATCTATCTATCTATCTCTATTTCTCTTTATCTACCGATCTACTTACCTGTGCATCAGTGTAGCTTCAGTACTTCGGCAGAAGGGACCACATCGAATATGATCAGACCTTTTGAGGATGACCAGCTTGCCTGGGCCAAGCGGCGGGACCAATACAAGGCAAGCATGGGCTTGGTTACGTGAGCATCACAGGATACGATGGTCATCTCTTCTGTCGACAGCAGTCTTTGTTGCTGTTCATTTTCGTATTGCATGTGCTGCGGCACTGGTGGATTCCGTTTTGGCTTCTGGGTGTCATATTTGGCTGTTCGTGCTGCTAGTCGGTTGTTGTTCTTGTGTTTATTGCTGCGGTGGTTGTTGTTGCTGGTGGGTGGTGGTGGTGGTGGTGGTGGTGGTGGTGGTGGTGGTGGTGGTGGTGGTGGTGGTGGTGGTGGTGGTGGTGGTGGTGGTGGTGTGGTGTTCGTTGTTGCTGTTGCTGCTGTTGCTGTTGCTGTTGCTGTTGCGGTTGCTGTTGTTGCTGTTGCCCATACCTTTTAAATCTGGCTCGACTACCCAAGACAGTTGCCCTGGACAAGCCATCACTGTAGGACGAACATTGTTCCGATGACGAGTCTTCTCGTCTATATTCTATACGATCAACGAAGTATCTGCTTGTTACCGTCCTCTCCCAGCTGTTGTGAACTTTGCTCCTGTTGCTCTCGTTGCTGCGGAAGCTGCCGCCCCCCACCCACTCTGAACTACGGCTGATGGACAAAATCCTGCATGACCCTATATACCTAAACTATAGGATTTATGGTACTATACTATATTTGGGTCATGCAGAATTTTGTCCATCAGCAGTATGACCCCCTTCAGCCTTAGACCTTTGACCATCGACCTCCCAACTGCCTGCCCGTTTTGCAAGGATCGAATTCTTGGAGAAGGTAAAACGTCCGTCGATGCATGGATACCTACAAGTGCCCAACTCCACAAGGCCTAAGCCCTAAGGCTAAACCCTAAACCCTAAACCCTAACCCTAAAACCCTCAACCGTCCCCAAGCATCAGGATCGTGCCGAAGAGCGGCGGCAGCGACACAGTAACAGTCCGAGCCCCAGAAACGTTTGGCGATTGACAGGTCTTCGGGGTTACATAGGTTTTAGGGACTTGGTTTCTAAGGACTTTAGGAGGGACCCCTAATAGGGACCCTTAATCCCATTACCTTAGATAACCATTGTATATAGTCCTTATATACCCTTTATAAAGCCAGGTAGTCTCCATATGAACCAAAATAACCTACAAGGGTCCCTATTAAGGGTCCCTCCTAAAGCCCTTAGATGGTTGGGTGTAGGGTTACACAAGAGTTTAGGGGAGGGTTCGGGGTGTCGGATTTGCAAGTGTTGCTTTGGGGTCGCCCCAAGGGTTCACTGTATTACTCATTTAGGTACTTATACTCAGTTGGTTTTCCGATCGTAGCTATTGGGGAGGAGTATTGGGATTATTTGCCAGGTAGCCCTTCGGAGACGTTTTGCATCTCTTCCTTAATTGGGTCTAAGCGGATCTTACTTAACTACGACTGTTTGATTGGATTTAAAGGGCCAGCCTAGGTGAGGTAATAGGTCAAGATTCTGGATTCGCAGCACTGCCTTTGTGGCGGTTCTTTCGGCCTCGGCGGTGTAAGGTGGGAAGGCGTTCGGTGCCGTGTGTTGGGCTGTCGTTCTGTTATCAAAGTTTTGTGCTGCGCTGTGGTACTTGTTTGCGGCAGGTAACTGAATTGCAACATACTCCGCGCTGTGCATAGTCTCAGAAGCAGGTGAGAGTGGCACCGATGCAGTGTAGGAGCCTAAATAATTACCAATATTATTTTGGGGGCGCTCCTTCTTAAAGTTATAGTTGAATATAGAAAAAACTTTATTCTAATTATTAGGGCCCCTAGATTATGCTGCTACTGTTTGGAAGATAGTTTGCGGTTCTGGCGACTCCAACTTCCTCTGCACCCTAAACCCTAAGCCTAAACCCTAAGCAGGCGATCCGGCTAAACTCAGGCCCCAGGCCCCTCATCGCGGCACCCTCCTTCGGTTTAGGGTTTAGGGTTTACGGTTTAGGGTTTAGGATTGATTTGGGGGGTTTAGGGTTTAGGGACCCAGGGATGACTAGAACCAGTGCTTTCATTATGGCTCTAAGACTTAGGGGTACTTAGAAATAATTCTTAATCTTTGGTTACTATAAACCCTAAGGAGCAGCTAAAATTATAATTTTAGCTAGGGGTCTAAGTTCAGTATAGAAGAGCCCTCAAGAATTCTCAGTCCCTGCCTCTGAGGTGGTGCGGCCATCGACACACTCGTGAATAAGTTCGAAAAGATCGTGGAGGTCTGGAAACTGCAGAATTTAGCGTTTAAGGCATCCTTGGAGAGGCTCTCCGGAGCCTCTGCATCCCCTGTTTTGGCTGTCATGGGTCCCTGTTGAAACGTTCATCATGGACAGCTGCTCTCTCTCGTCCTCTCTCTATCTTTCTCTCTTTCTCTCTCTCTCTCCCCCTCTCTCTTCATATACACACACCTCTAGTTGCGGTCGAATATCTCACGAAGCCCCGGCCTAGTCGTTGAGGGTTCCAGCCCGCTAGCCACCGGCACATGTAGTGTAACGGCACATGCAGCTTGGGCAACCAAGCGGAAGACAACGTAATCCGATCATCAGCAAGTAGGCAGCCATAACTTATAATAACCCTAAACCAAATGCATGTTGAGATTGGCAGTCAGTTCCATGGTCATGGTCTTGTCTCGACCCAATCAAAGCATCTGGGATCAGAGTTTGTTTTTGCGGGGAGGGGTTACGGTTCAAGCTCGGCAACGAGAAAGTGCGGAATTCAGTAAAGCATGTTGACAGTTGAACCAGATAGGAGGATGTTGGCAAGGAGTATACTCCATTGAGGTGGACGACCATGGACTTCACACGGCAAACACCAGAACCTTTGCCCCAATTGCCCTACTCCAGCCAACCCACCAACCAACCCGAACCCTCACCGCTCAATCCAAAAAAGCCAAAACCATGAAGAACGACAGTAGCAGCACACCCGCAACACTAAATTCCGAAAGGCAACCCTAAACCCCGAAACTCACCCCCCCCCCCCCCCCC